ATTATTATTATTTTTTAATGTGTATGTGTGTATTGTCTGCATGTAGGTAAGTGCACCCATGTCGTGCAATGCCCACGGAGGACAGAAGAGGCTGTCAGATCCCCTGGAATTGGCAGTTGTTAGCTGCCATGTGGGTGCTAGGATCCACAAGAACAGCCACTGTTCTTAACTGCTGAGCCATCTCTCCAGTCCCTAGAATTCGTTGATAGTCCACCAAAAGCACAATCCATAGAGATGAAATCAACAATTTGGGCTTCATCAAAATTAACATTAAAATTAATACACATTTCATCAATAAACATTTAAGAATGACTTTTTAGCACTGAATTTATCATTATACAGCAGCAGTAAGATGCTAAGTAATAAATGCCAAAAAAATATGATCCATATCTTATAAATCTGTGAGAATTTACAAAGTAGTATTTTTTTAACTCATGTGCAAGCATGCTTATTATTAGCTTAGGATTTACTTTTCATTTAATAAAAGTTAATTATCATCACTTACCAGCAGCTTCAAGGACCAACTGTAGCCTGGCTTTGGCCTGCTCAGCTGGTGGCTAAAAATCAACCATAAGACATTTAGAGGTCAGTTTTAACAAATAGAGCTTTAAATTAATGCAGTTATTTATAAAACCACTTATAAAACTTTATCACTCCCAATATTTCTATCCATCTACATTCTAACTAAATTCCATCACAGCAGTGCTTTCCAACCTATTCTCACCTTTGCTATCAAATCACATATTTCTTTAATATGGTGAAAGAATAATGAAGCTCTTTCTCTTCTTAATGGAAAAGGTTTGGTTACTACTTAACTTTGTAGTTATAAACAGTAACACAAATAACTGTAAATTTAATGATGAGGCAAATGCCACAGGATGTTTTTATATGAAAACGTGAGTGGCTGATTTGAATTTAAATACAAGAGCAACTTGAAGCCTTGTAATTCATGCAGGTCAGATCCTAAAATAAAGCATTTTCTGCTTTTTAAACTAAACTTGAACTGTAAAACGATATGATGTACTTCACAAACTTTCAGTTTCCACTAATTATCCTAAAACTGCTCATTCAATAAACCCTGATTGAATGTTGTTGACAAGGCTAAAACTCACTTTCCTATCAGTGATCTTATTTCTGAGATTTTTAGATAAATAGTGTTCAAACATGAATTATACTAAGGTAATGACTTCATAAAAGAACAGTTAAAAAGTATTCTATAAAAATGGTCAGCATCTTTAGTCATTAGGAAAATGCAAATTAAAACCAATCTTAGATTTCATTTTATTCCAGTCAGAACAAACAATGACAAGTGGGGAGAGCGTGGAGGAATGGGACCTCTTATCTACTGCCCGCAGGAGTGCAAATTGGTGCTGCCGTTATTAAGAAGAGTGTGGAAGTTCCTCAGAAAGCTAAAAACAGACCTCCCACATGATCCAGCCATACCAGCCTTGGACATAGAACAAAGGACTGTATCCTACTACAGATACCTGTTTGTTCATGTTCATCGCTGCCTTATTCACAGTTAGTTAAGAAATAGAAACAACCCAGATGTACATCAACTGATAAATGGATAATGAAAGCATAGTACATTTAGACAATGGAATATTACTCATCTGTTAAGAAAAATGAAATTATAAAATTCACAGGTAATTGGATGGAACTGGAAACAATCATCCTAAGTGAGGTAACACAGACCCAGAAAGACAAACATTTATGCTCCCTCTCCTCAGTGGATGAACTGAATTGAATCTTTCTACAGGTTTGTTGCACTGAATCTTTCTACAGGTTTGTTTCAAATGGAAAATCCTTAGAGAACAGGAAACTAATAAAGGGCCATGGGAGATGGAATGTAGTGATACAAATAGAAAGGGGAATAAAGGGTAGGATGGGGAAATGGGAGGGGAGGACAGAGGAGGGAGCAAGAGGAGGAATAATTAGCACTAAAGGCCTTTTGAAAGAGTCATATGGAAACCTACTATAGAAGCTTCTTTCAGTATATACATATACAATATAAAAAGAGTTTAAATGGGGTTGCCTTAAAGCAGAGGTTCAATGGCCCTCTTAGACACTACAGGCTAGGAAATGAAAAGGTCACTGTCATGAGTGGACTCCCTCTTTTGACCCAACAGACCCTCAAATAATACTGGCTATTGCCACTGCACTTGGTTACCCACCAGAGCTTGATGGTAAGACCCTATTGCTGAAGACACTACATACCTAACTAAGTCACAGAACAAAGGAGAAATCAAGCTGGTACTGACCTGATGGCTAGCCTTCAGAGTACTAGAAGGTGCATTCACGTTACTGGCAGAGAAAAGTAATCACCAACCCTACCCAGCTGTGAACCTGTAGCCTACAATAATGAACTGGCGTGGCAAAACATGTCCACTGGTACAACAGTGGCATGAATATTATGGGAGTAACCCATCAACTTCCGATTAGATTTAAGGCCCACTTCACAAGATGGGAGGCCATACCTGACACTGTCATCAGGGTTAAGAACCTGTGGCTAGATAGGTCACAGACCATAGGGGAGAAACTACTGCTATCAATCTGGTAAATAGAAACAATATTAAACTAACTCATAATGACTTATTGTTATACCCACAGATTAGCACATCTTTCATCTCTCACCAGATAAGGTTTTTCTTACAACAGATGGCAATTAACCCAGAGATCCACAAATGGTCAACATGAAGAGAGTAAGAGACTGTGGAGTACTCATCCCTAAATGGGACACCTATATTGTACCCTCTCTTCCCAAGGCTCAGGGATCATTGTGGAAGAGGGGCCAGAAAGATTCTGAGAGCCAGAGTTGGTAGATAAATACAAGGAAACTGGTTGAATGGAGACCATGGGGTACTTGCATATATGAACCCACAGTGCTTATGACAGCATGCAAAAGATCTGTGAAAACTGGCCAAGCATGGATGGAGGAGGTAGACAGGAAGTTCAGGCACTAGCTGAGGATCTCTTGGCATTTGATGGATGCTGGGAGTGGGAGGGTCAGTTTTCTTTACTGGAGTGATGCCAGGTCGGTTGATCAGACTCCAAGGGACCCATACCCAAGAGCTCTTGGAAAACACAGATTAGACTCAATAGCCTTAAGAAAAAGACAAATAACAAGAGAGGATATGAAGTGTGGGGTGGGGTAGGAAGGGATGCAGAGGGAGTTGGGGGTCTGAATATGAGCAAAATACCTTGTATGAAATACTCAAATCAATAAAAAAAAACTTTTATAAAAGAATTCTTAGAACTGGGCTTCACACTGCCATACATTTATAAAGATGTTTCAATAAACTAAACAATCCAAACAATCTAAATAATACAAAGTTTATCATTTTAGATATAGTTGGTATGCTTGAATGTTTTTCTATTTGTAAAGAAGCAGGTTATGTTAAATAACTAGATGGAGACATAATAAAGCATTTGAATAGTGAAACTGAATAAAGAATTTGAATAGTGTTTCTAAAAGAACCAACTTAAGAAAGAGGATGTGAGAGTGGTGAGCAAGACAAATGAGGGGACAGGGAGAAGCTTTTTATATTGTAGAATGGGATTAACAAACCATAGCCCTGAATCAGAGGCCAGGTTTATAAATATTCTTTATTAGAATATCCCATGCCATTGTTCTTAACCCACGCAGTTTATCTATACTAGTTTTTGAGCTCAACTCAATAACTATCTGTACCCTTAAGAAAAAAAAGGTGTTAATCTCAACCAAAGAAGTTGGGAAGACATAGAATACTTAAACAGAAGGATGATGTGGTCAAACCTGCACTTGATGTATCATTCTAGCATGTTTGAAGATAAATTAAAAAGAATGTAAGTGGAGTCAAAGGGCTCAGTGAGGCAGGAATAAATTTCACATGAGATACTGGGGGCCTATGTAGAAAGGAAGGACAGGATCAATCATATCTCAGAAATATTACATGGCATAATGAAGAGACTGACTGGATATGAGAAAAGGAGTTGAGAGAAACAGTTTTATAGCATATTTCTATAGGGAGAACATGTGAAGTATGTTTATATAAGCAAGCTTTATAAAGTCATAAAGTCAAATAATAAAGACATCAAATTAATATATTACAGAAAATGTCAATAGAAACTGACATCTACTAAAAATAACCATATATATTAAAGGAAGGAACTGACCAAGTAATTGCCATTATGCAGAAATGCAAGTCCAATCTAACAAAATTTACTTTTCACAAGAGTTCAAGTCATGATAAAGATCAGTATTATGAAGAACGAAGTGTTTCTCTGGCTCAAGAAAGTTTGTGGTCTCTGCCATCTACCTACCACATATAAGAGAAACTTGAAATTATGCAATATTACATAAATTAGAATGGCAAAAAGCAAATGATATTCTGACTAGCAGGTACTGAGTAAACTAAGAATTAGAAAACACATGTGTGAGGGTATCCTGATAACCAATGAGTATCCTTTGCTAGGAAAAAACCTTACTTTATTGGTTCAGAAATTTAATATGTATTTTTTGTATGTCATAGTGAATTTTAACCATAGCAAAATATAGCAAAATATACAAAAGTGTGTAGTTAATATTAAAATCATCTTAACACTATTGCTAAAGTCCCCTACCTCACAGAGTTCCTTTCATGGCAGATCTCTCCCTCCCCCTATTTATAACCACTATCTTCAGAGTATAATGACTACCAAAGGAAAGTTTTTTAAAATTTAATTTATATTATTTATTTGTTTTATGTATATGAGTGTTTTATGTGCATGCAGGTAAGTGCACATGTGAGCAATACCTGTGGAGGCCAGAAAAGCATGTCAGATCCCCTGGAACTGGAGTGACAGCTGGCTGTTAGTTGTCATGTGGGTGTTAGGAATGAACCTATGTCCTCTGAAAGAGCAGCCAGTGTCTTAGTCACTGAGCCATCTCTCCAGCCCTCAAAAGAAAGATTCTTAATGATAATGGCTTATTTTTATAAATCTGTTAGTATAAATTTATTTTTAACTAATTACTTCCACATTCTACAATGTATAGCTTAGATTTCAAAACCAAAAATAAAAGCAGTTTAGTGCTTTCTTCTAACAGATGATGGACTAAAATTAAGACTGAATTTAAATTTAAAAAATTATCCAGCTAAATTACTAGGACATTCATGTAGTCAAAGCAATTAATATGTATACATAACATATATGAATATGGTTTGAATCTGTTCAGAAGAAACATTTTCAGACAATACACTTGAATCAGTAAATGAAATCTGACTATATTATAAATACATTTGCCTATGTAGATACAACTAATACTTAAAATTAAATCTTAAGAATTCCAATTATGGGGATAAATGCATTGATAGACTGACTAGGCCAAAGAAGTTAATCTCTACTTACAAATATTTTACTTTGTATAGATTCAGTGCTGAATAACTTTTCTTGAAAGAGATAATGGTAGATGTGAATGTTTTGCTATTTACAATTGTTTTTTAACTGTGACCAGTGAATAAGTTAAAGGGATATGGGATTCTTGGTCGAAGTCTTGTCTTTTTATCACCTGGTCCTCAAATGTGTTCCAAGAACACTG